TCGATGTGTCCGACTATGAGTACACACCCCCCCCGCCTTCCGTACCGCCGCTAGAGTACGCCGGAGAAGTATGGGAAGGAAATAATAAGGTAGTGAAAGAACTCGAGGCGGCGCAGATGAAAGCAGCGAAAACCATCCTAGGATGCTCCAGGCGCACAAGTAATGCAGCCGTGAGGGCAGAATTGGGGATCCAATCCCTACGGTCGGGAAGAGACGCGAGGAAGCTGACCTGGCAGTATCGCATGTGCGGGATGGGAGAGGAGAGGTTGCCGAGGATTGTATGGGAGGCGAAGTGGGCAAACAAAAAGAGGGGTAGACAACCCACGGAATGGGTCAAGGTTGTAGAGGACGTATGGAAGGGGCTCGACATCGACGAAGATGAAACGCTGGAAACGGAGGGTCTACAGGGGTTCAAGGAGAAGATATCTGTTGCTTGTGCCGAGAGAGAAGAACAGAATCTAAGGAAAGAATCCAAGGATAAGGAGGGTCTAGAAGTGTACGGAATGTTGAAGGAAGGAATAGGGTTCAAGGACTACCTACATGGACCAATGGATGCAGGAACAAAGCTTAAGGTCAAATTCAGGACCGGGGACATAGGCCTTCGAGAACGTCGACGAAGACATAGGACGGTAGACGAGGAAGACGACGAGTTCAAATGTGATTGCGGCTTCGAATGCGAAGACCGTGTTCATGTAGTCGCGGAATGTCCGTTGTACAAGAAGGAGAGGGAAGTGTACGTGACTGAGCTGGGAAAAATAGATGGAACGTACAGGGAGATGTTTGAGGCATGGAATAGAGAGGAAAGGACGGTAGCTGTAGTGGGGCATAGGAGGTGGGTTGAAAAGGCGGGAAGGGATATCGTTAGGATAGACAGACTAGGGAAGACATTTTTGAGCCACCTTTGGCAAAGTAGAAAGGAACGATTGGCCATCGGTGATCGGTCCTGTGGGAACAATGCTCCGTCCTCTCGAGGACGCGTAGTCAATGGTCTTAACCGCTACGACATGCAAAACATAAGAGTACGCCCCCCCCCCCCCCCC